AGATTAGCTCCTATTAAGCAGCTAACCATGTCTGAAATTTATAGCTGACAAAACTTGAAAGGTAACATGAAGCTCCCAAAAATAAGATTTGATACTGGCAAACATGATTGGCATCCTATTCAAATATGTTTCAAGTGGATCAAATTTCAAGTGAAATTCCTAACATCAGTTCTAAGTGCATTCATTTTGAGAAAAAGTATTTGCATTTTTGTCCTTGTTTCTTTGTGATTCCAGAAGGAATAAAGGGCACACCTCAGTCCTTACATAGAGTATCATAAATAAACAGCAATACTAAGTTATTCAGCATTCTCCCTAAGAACGTCCGCAGGTTGACTTCTAATTTAGAGTTCTAACTTTGGGTTCATAAAAACTTGTCAACAAACTTTTATTGAGGACTTCTGTGTTCTAATTTTCTAACAGACTACCACCTTGTCATCTGACAACTGAAGTAGATTTAACTGGGTGTTAATTTATTCCTCTGAGTTAAGCATTGGTAGAATTGGTGCAAAGCAACATTACTTTCACTCAGATGTCAGTAAAATTAAGTTCAAGGCAATTAATAAGTTTTTGGAGATTTAAAAAACTTCATGTGCATCGTGATTAATTGTTCAAGCAGAGATGGCAACCACCAATAAATTAGAGTGTCAAGAAGGTGGCAGCACATGAGACCAAAGAAGAACATGAAGTGCACAAAGCAAATTACAGTCGAAAAAATAAAGTTTAGTTTCAATGCTCTCAAGTCTGAGGGAGTAAATGACTTGACCTATGTGTGGAGAGTAGAAGAAAGTGTTGCCCCAATCAAGCTGGCTGCACCTTTTTAAGACGCATGTACTAGGCTACGGTCAAAAGTTCTCTCCCAATTGAAGGAGAGTTTTCAAATAAAATCAGTTGATGCCTTCTGTTGTACTTGCATATATGTAGTCAACATGATCAGCAATTGGGAGCGAACACTTTAACACTAACAAGCATGTAATTTTAGTTTGTCACCTTCTTCGCCTAATGGGTTGCTTACAGTTTAAATTATTGATTGATCCAGGCAACTTTCCTGATGCTTCTTAGGATGCAAAGTTCAATTGGGAATATTAAAAGGTACAGGGAAAAAGAAGAAAAGACATGTTCATTATTATCCCTCCAAAATTTTAATGAGATGCATTTCAATTTTAAACAGAAGAAGGAATGATAGATAAGTTCGACATTTCCCCACATGAAGTCAGTTTTATATTTCCCTTGTTTTCTTTGGACTAAGAAATTACCAAATGAAATAGGTTGACCATGACATCTTCTCGTGTGTCTACATTTTTCAGGCGTGAAAGGAAGAAAAGGAAAAATAAACATACGAATGAGTTGCACATGGTTGCAGAAAGGGGAATATCATCAGTAACAAAGAGCTAGATGTTCAACCGCATGGAATTTAGCTGTTCAAGGGGAAGTCCTACTTGTAATAAAAGGTTATCTTAGTTATCAGATCAACCATCATTCTCATCCAAAGAACAAAAATAAAAATAAAAGAAACAAAGGGGGATGGGATCTTAGGATTTCACCAGAAATTTGACATCGAGTAAACTAGTGTTCTCAAATATTTCAACCAGTATTCAAACACATAGGTACAACGGGGCACAGGCTCACCTATACGTTATCCACAAAAATGCAAACTACTCGAAGTCTGCAACAATCAATTGCATGATTCAAGCATACCAAACACAACTAAAACAACAACAACAACTACTACTACTACTAGCCTTAGTCCCAAGCTAGTTATGGTTGGTTATATGAATCCTCCACATCCATTTCACACTATTTGGTCCCACTTTATTCAACTGAATGTGTGTATGTGTGTGTTTATATACTCACATCTGAATGTTGCAAGCATACAATGCACAACTACAATGTCTTGTACTGAATTGAATCATGAATATTTACAGAATACGGGACTGGAAAAACTAGTAAATACCTTGAACATTTTGAGAAGAACATGAAACTTTCAACTGTACTCGTCTATCAGAACGTGCAGCTTTTCTAGGCTGTAAATGGCAGGATACGACTATCCGATGCCTTGGTTTTTCATTCCACTTCTCAGAGAAACGCAACAAACCACTTGGTTTCCTTACTACCTTATCTGAATTTATCCATGAGGGCAACTGAAGGCTCTGCGAAACTCTAGCCTCCATAGTCTCTACTCCACCAACACCACAAGAAATTCTTTTAAAATCAGAAAGAGCTGAAGAGTGCACTTTATACTGTCAACAAGCTTCTGCTGCCTGCTAAATCCAGATATTCCAAGAACTCACAATTAATTACCTCAAAATCTACCCCAAAAATAGCAATATAAAACTTTTAAAAGAAAAAAAAAGTCAAGATTTTGTTCACCCAATTTCTAATAGGCAAAGAAGAGTAAAAATAACAAACAGGAAACATGAAAGCCAAATGGTCTGCGAGTTTATTCTATTGTTATACTACTATAGTTCCGCTTTGCTTGTTTCTAGTCCTCAAATATTACTCTGCCCCATCTGGCCTCATTCAGCTATTTTTCCTTTATGGCTATTCCCTTATTGGTGTAGCTGGCTTCATGTCTTCCACATTTCTTACCCTTAATCTGAAACACCACATAACATCGGCTAGCGAAAGGTGGTTCTTCATTGTGGCTACTATCTTCCAAGTGCAACTTACTCTTGCTTTGGTACTGAGCATTTACTTATTCAACGTCACAGTATAGCTATGAAACTATTGAAATGTGTCTAGGGTCAGTTTGAACAAGTCATATTAATTACAGATAAAGGACACTGTTCTTCATATCAACTTGACTGCAACTATGTTTGGTCATTGGAACGGAACTGTATTCATTCATTTTTGACGATATACAATACTTCCTCTGCCCTAATTTGGATTTCGAGAGACTAATAAGAAAATCTTTGACCGCGATTTATCCACATGCACTTTAAATTTGTTAGTTCTTGCGACTAATAGTACTTTTTACGTAGTTTCTAAATATGTAAATTATTTTTCAAAAACCTTAAAGATTGTATACCCGAATTCATGGTCAAAACGAAAAGGTTCTGACTCTCAAAATCCGAACTATGTCATATAAATCGAGATGGAAGGAGTAATATAGTTTCACTTTCACCAAAAACAAAAAGTTTGATTCTTCCTTGTCTCTACTTTTTGGACTATTAAACAACTGAACAGCTCAATACTCTAAAGCAAACATATATACCCAATGCATCAAAAATTGAGAAATTTCTTAACTTACCCACAAAAATTGACTTCTTAAACAGCAAAAGCTTAATCCAAATAATAAAACTCCCATTAATTACCCTAATTCAGCCTCTTTTATCAACCAATTAAGCCCAAAAAAAGGACAAATTTTTACCTCTTACAAGAAAAAGTAGTGGAATTAACAAAAACCCACACTATTTTCTTAAATATTAATTTCTTCTACAACCCAAAACAGAGCACAGAAAAAAAAATCTCAATTAAATCAATCTATGAATTGAAGGATTAAAAAAAAAAATAGAACATACCTTTTTGAGCAGAAGAGCAATGAAAATTGGAACAACAGGATTGGGGAAAAAATGGGATTTTTTTTTATGAGATTAGTTAGGTGAAGTGTTTGTTTTAAAATGGATATTATATATATAAAGGTGTCATGAGTTAGGTGAGATGGTAATAATTTTGTGAGAAAAAGAAAATATATAGTATTTCTTTTTTCTTTTCTTCTTGGGTCATGAAAATATATAATATCACTAAAAACACATTTATTAAGCTTTGCATAATAAATTATTGGTAATAATTTGGATAGACAATTTTTTTAATTTTGGTTAGATTTGACTCTATCGTGACGGAGTCAAGATTGTCATGAAGTGGTTTTAAATATGAAGAAGTAAACTCATGAAAAGTGAAATGGAGTTCAATATTAATTATATATACATTAAAAAAAATCATATATAAACAATGTAATATTTCTTTAAAAGGGGGTTCGAATGAACCTTGGGCCCTTACTAGCTTCCCTTCTAACGGTTGCGTACACTTTATTCTCTCCAGATTTCATTTTATAAAATTATATTTATACTAGATATATTATTGTGGTGGCATAATTTGGTATTGCATTTGCATAAAGTTAACAATGTCAACTTGGGCAGGTAGGTAAGGGTCAACTTGAAAACTAGTTTTCTGAGTCAATTTTAGTTAACAAAACGAAAAAGTTAAGCTTCATGCCAAACATTTAAGGGATATTTTATACATATGTTCATCTGATTTACTGTAACAACGTTTTGATGATTATACAAAAAAAATTAGTTGTGATGTAACTTAAACACTACAAAATTTAGGTATAAAGTATTTTGCGTTCATGTAAAGTCTAGAAAAAGACAGCACTTTAAAAAATGTGACAAAAACAATCTATTGTAACAACTTTCAAGGCTCGAATTCACACGTGTATTCAGCTTGCTTAAAATAATCAATAGCACTTGCATTTCCTCCAATGTTTTATTAATTTTGCATGAGTCATTTTCCTTACCAACTTCACAATTCACCTAATGGGTAGGTGATAATTTTGGGTGGTTGTTGAGATTTTGCTTCTTAGCTTCGTAGAAGTTGAATGATGTTGTTGACAATTCATACGTGTATTCTCAGGCCATAACACCACTAAGTACGACAAAGTGAAAAGAGACGAGATTCACTTCTCCCAACTTTATCGACAACAATCATCTCATTTATTTTACTCTCAGAAGCATATAGATAGAAGGCTGTCTTGTTTTCTCTTCGTTGACTACTAGACGACAACCTTGAGTACAAAAAGGAACCGAAAGTAGGGCATTATACAACCAATTAAAGCTATGACAACAACTTATCCAACCATCTAGGGTAAAGGAAGAGTTGAAAAGAATGTCCATTTCTAAGAACATAGAAATGAGCTACAAGTAATGTTACATTCAAATACATAACCAATAGAAGGTTATTGTCCCTACTACACGTTGCTCGAAGCATGACTAGAGAATAATGAGGGGAAGACCATTACGACTCTTGGGCTTCCAAACCTCTTTGATTTCTATGTTGATATGTTTATGGTGGTTCTTCATCTTCTGCGTTGGTCCCGATAGGGTCCTTCATCCTCCTGGTCTTTCAAGAGGCCTAGGAAAGCAAGAAATCCGAAAAAGAAGAACCCACCTTTCCAATTGCCTCCGCCACCCCCACCTCCACCTCCACCTCCATCATCATCACGAGGGGGGAACCCAGTCCCACCATCATCCAGGTCAGGAGATTTCTCCTTTCCTGCGTTCAGACCAGACACATCAGCATTCAAATGATAACTTTTTCACACTGTATCTTTATAAAGTACAAAAATAGCTTGGGGATTTTTTGTTGATAAACCTTACTGAACATCATTGGTTAAGTAGGGCTAAACTGATCTACGATCTTTTTATAGCGGCAGGACAGAGTGCAGACGCTACTAGCAAATTGTTTTATTTCCATCCATTGTTCTACCAATTGCTAGTAAGAGCATGAAAGGAGATTACCTTGAACTGGTGCAACTGTAATGGTTGATGATTCCCGTGTAACCGTCTGTGTCTGTCCTTCAGCACATCTCGCATTCTGCAGTGATGCAAGAAGAATGGGTCAAACATAAATGGCTAATAAGTAATAGCAATATAGTATACTTGAATGATGTAGGGAACGGAAGCACCAAATGTGGAATGCACGATTGCAAGTAGTAGTAGCAACAGCATCAAGAACAACAATGCATTTTAGTAATCAGTTCCTATTTCCGATTGTCTTGCCTGTAAATCCATGATTTTCGTTTAGCCTTTCTAGGATCAGGCTTGTATTAGGGGGTCTAACCACTTTCAAGTAATAGATCTTCACATTTTACCTTCTCAAAAAGATATATCTCCAAATGTTATAGATTCATATATCTATTAACGATAACTAGCAAATAGAGAGCTGATAAACTTGATTTCGGGGTACTTGTTTAGTAAATGCAGTTGATTTCAATAAGCTGACTGCAGAACCTGCTTGGCATGCGGAACTACATATACAGAGACATACCGTAAGCCCAAAACCAGCTACTTGCAGTAGCATTCAGAAACTCGGAAGCTTCTCACAGCAAAATTTGCACAAGATTAATATAAAAGACATGACAAGTACTATTGACCCACTAGGATCACTAGAGGCATGTAATTAGCTAAACAAGGCACTGGCAGTAATTATACGAAAAAAATACAAAAGAGACTGATACCAGAGCAGAAGAACATATAATTGAAGCACGCTTTTGTTGAACAGGACATATCAATCGTCTTCTATTGTTAATGAGTTGAGACTGCATGCCAAGCGGATGGAGGCCAGCAGGAACTGATGGTATTGGCTTGAATTGCTTCCGGCATTGATCCCCTGCTCTCACTGTGACAACAAAATCCAATGATTAACTACATAGATAACATGTGCTACAGGTTTAAGAAGCAAATCTTCAAAATGATTTAGCCAACACTGGATTTTAAAGTATCAAATGTCTTCATGGCATTGTTGTCACACCTTAAATGTGAAGTTCAATTAGATTATCAAAAAAATGAAAATATCAATAGATTACTTCAAAACCTACACACCATCATATCAAGTTAACTAGAAAATCAAAGAGAAGAACATTTTATTTTCATTTTTTTCCTTTTTATCCAAAGAGTTGAAAATAGCACCAAAATTCGAGCAAGTTAGACTATAGATCATAAACCAAAATTTTCACTTCTACAGTCTGCAGTATGAAGGTATTATATATTTGACATGAAGCCTAAAATGAAGTAACATGGACAATGAGAATTCATATAGTCGACCACAACTTGTTTAGGATTAAGGCATAGTTGTTGTAGTTATTATTGTCTAAGGTGTTGTATATTTGACAGTGAGTGGGTGAACGCCTATTGGTATTTTCATACGGAAACAAACGAAAGCTAATACAGTCCAATAATATATGCAGAACAGCAACTACAATATGACAAGAGGATCATTACTTAATGTGACGGTCTTAACTCCTACAGGCTACAGCACTTGCACAGCAATTCAGATGCTCTTACATCTAATGTGGCAAAGGCTTCTCAGTGAGCTAACAGCAAGATATGCTGATCTATTTAATTATAACAGGATCAAGAATATGACAGTTTTCCCTGTGTGATCCAAATTGCATGGAAACATCAATTCTAACATCCCCCTTTTCTGAGAAGGTAACATGTATATTCATCGCATCAAGTTAGTACTTGTATCCAATATTTACAATTACAACAGGCCTTGATCATCTTACAAAAATTCAAAACAGCAATGCTAACATTCCTTCATAAAACATGTGAACGTGCCAATTAAAAAAGCCAATCAGGGATATACACCCACATACCTATTGGCAAAGTAGTCGCACTCATGGTGGTACTGGCAGTTAACGACATCTCTTAGCAATAATCTGGATCTTCCTGAAATCAAAAGGAAGAGAGATTCAACATGCAATTTATACAGGATAATAACTGCACATGCAAGACAGTACCATGAAAGAAATTGTTTTTTCATGAAAATGGAAAACCTTCCTTGCTTTTGGCACACTACAAGTGTTCTCCGTTGGCAAAATGGAACTACCAATGAAAGGAGGGTAGTGTCCACTATCAAACTATGACTTCATTCAGTTATTTAGGTCATGTGTTTGAAACCCAGTGAAGCTTATGCATATATGGAGAATCAGCCAATATATTTACGGCAAACTGTTATTCTTGAGAAGGTACAGCTAATGCTCAGTGAGGCAACTAAACTTCTCCATTACCAATTTCTACATTTGCTGTCCAAAGGTAACAAAAATACCACTAAATTAGGGAATGAACATAGAGGGCCAACTCGATCTCAACTGCCCACAGCAAACCACATCATCTCATGTTTCCTTTATCCATCCCACTCTCTTAATAAGACATTACAAACTTCAACATGGGCACTACGAGAAAGTCGACAAGGCAAAATTAGATGCATATAAGGGAAAAATTAGCAAACAACTCGTCTTTCTTAGGCCTTTTTCTAACTTGGTCCATAGAAACAACCACCATTCAACCTAAATTCTAAACTTCATATGGAAACAAATCAGATCTAATTGGAAGCCTGAGACAGAAAATCCGTTTTATTCAGCAAAGGGTTAATCTCAAGGAGAGATGTGCAATTTATTGAGATACACTACTATCCAGACATTAGCGGCTCCATAGATCCAAGCCTCCAACTTGGAGGTAATAGTTATGCATTTCAAGGGCATTATCTCCAAAAATAGTACTACAGTAGTCATAGGAAAATAACAAACTTAATTGCAAGTTATTTTTTGAGAGAGGAAACTTAGTTACAAGTTATGTTATTATCTTATAAAATTGTAAATAAACCGTCTCTTAGATCAGATGTCACATGTATTCTATTGCATAACCAAATAGAGACCACCCAAGTATTCCTTCTTAAAAGGAGGCTCATAATGGTTCCTATTAGAGCATAGAGTGTACTGTGTTAACTAATCTGGACGCTAGCAGCTTACACAGGATTTTACAGTGTCTATAATTCCTCTTGTAAGTGTGTTTGGGTCTAAGACTTTGTTGGTATTAACGTTTTACTTTCTGTTTCAAATTATGTTGGTATTAATGTTTTAAGAGAAAACAATTATATATTTACAAACGCATCTATAAGAAAATTTTCTGTAATGATTTGTAGGGTGTCTCTCGCTTTGCTAGACGTAAGACAGGGCAACCTGTACTTGTTTTGAGATATTCTCAAATAGACATATGCCTCTAGTTTAAGCTTAAATCATATTACTTTTCATCTGCCTTGACGTACTCATGTGAAAAGGCCTTACCTGGCTGTGAACTTCCAGCATATTCCAAAAAATATGCATTTGTTTTTTATAACCCTGGTGTCCTGGCCCAGCTTGCACACACCTCGACTAATTCGTGATTCCATGGGATATCTACCACCTCCCACTAGTAACAGGAACCAAGTAACTCTATATCTCTATCCACCAAGGATAGAGCAGATGGAAAGAAATCACCTAGTGTTTTTCTCCCAACTGAAATTAAATTTGAGACTTGATAGTGCTCAACCTACTCCATTAGCCACCAGGCCACTACCTTGGATTTAGCACCTATAAATCTCTAGTCCGTGCTAAAATATTCCCACGGTTTCACCCCCATAACATGTCAAGAACAAACTTGATCTTCTACCACTCTCCTTATGCACAACGACGAAAGATGTTATACATACATACCAACAAAGGGTGTTCAAAATCCATCATTGCTTCCTGCCAAGAAACTCTAAACTACAATATACAGCACCTTTTTCCTATTTAGATTAACTGGCACATACCTTACATAATATCTCCTAAATAAAGTTGCAATTACTCCCAACAACAATAAGACAGTCAAATACCACTAAACCCCCAAAACAAATTTGTCTATATCAATGGAAAAATCCAATCTTTTCACAAAACGAAGTAAATCCAAATGATAATTCACAAGAATAAAAAAAGAAAAACTGAAAACAAGGAGTAGAAGCACGAACCTTTTTCAAATACTCAATAGAAGGACTCTGCCAGTGGCCCAATAATGAAGAAAAATGATACACAGAAGGGAAAATCCTTTGCTTTCGTTGGATTGCGGATTTCTTAAAGGAGGAAAAACTTTGAAGCTTTGGATGAAGTTTATCGCTTTACAGAGGATTTGCTACGTCGGTTTGGATTTCGGGTTATACCAAGACCCGTTTTAGGGTGTTGCATAAATCGAACCGAAATCGATAATTCAAACCAACAAAAGTTATTTGTATTAGTTTATCAGTAATAAATTATTGAATTGGCGATTTTGATAATGATTTGGGTTTTTTTTAATTATCGGATTAAGGATTCTTCGCGATTTGGGGTTTTTCTTAATGGGTTAACCTATAAGTCCATAGTAAATTAATAAATTATATTTATACCATATAGGTATATAAATTTCTTGACTTATTGTTCAATTTTATGTTTGTATTTCTGACTCTCTCAAACTCTTGTTCTTCTATAATATGTCGGTGTTTACTTTTGAACAAGATACAATCAATCAACTCATATGCATGATTCATTTGATTTTTCACTTGCTTGTTTCTAAGTGATTTTTTGTGTGTCAAATCTTAACGTTAATCAATAACCGAATTGATAATAATCAATAACTGAAATCAATATTTTAACGGTTCTATAACGATTTAGCATATTTACAATTTGATAATTATTACATCAAATTGATAAATTTTAAAATCGAAACTGAACCAACCAATACACAACCCTATTTTAAGGTTTGATTGGTTGTGGAGTAAGGAATAATAATATCACTATAAAATTTGCGATTAATTCTGTTACATAATTGATTTAAGATATTAGTTCATTTTTAAAATTATTTTTATTTCACTATTTATATTTTAAAAATAGTGTGGTAGCTATCTTATATACTATTACAATAATATATTCAATAAAATCGCATGGAATGAGATATAAAAACAATAAAGTGTACGCATCATTTATCTTGGTGGACCGATTTGACAACTTTCAGCTATACAAAGTTAGGTGATTTACCGGGTCAGTATTCATCTTGATTTCGGCCTTTATTTTCTTCCTTTGAAACGATTGACCTGACAGGCTGGAAACTTGATGAAATCTAAGGAATTAAAAACTTGATTTTTTCAAACGAGGACTGTTCTTTTTAGGAAGACGATTTCTGACCAGTCTCCGAAACTGATTTGAAAACAAAACATTTGTTACGTGACGTGAGGCTCGAGCTTAAAACTTTGAAACTATACCAATTCATACTTAGCAACTGAAGCATGGAGGAGAAGAGCCGGAAACAACCCCTCTTTTCAAAAGAAAGCGACTCATGTTAGAGATATACTTATTTATTTCATCTCGAAAATCAAACCATTTATTTTCTTTTCATCGAAGAAAAGACTGTTTTGACCACTAATATCAGTTTTGAACTTTATATTATAATATATTATATTTAATAACTAACATATTAAAGTTTTAATTAATTTAAATAAGTTATTGTAGTCTTATACTTATGGAACCTTGTGACTTATTTAGTTTCATCAAGAGATGACTAAGTTGAATTTACATCTCAATATAAATATTTGAATATTAAATTGTTTATTTTTTAATATCCTTATTATATGGAGTATAAAACTTTTTTTAAAGAGAAAATTAATATAATATAATATTATTTTAATAAAAAATATTTCTAGAATTATATTAAGATTAACAATAGTACCATTAAGCCTAGAGTGTTTCTGATTAAGATTATTTCATTTTCAAATTCCATCCAAACAGATGCTTCAGATATCGGATATGGTGGAGTATTAACTCAATATTGTCCGGATAACAAACGTCATTACATAGTTCAATTTTACTCGGGCAATCCGCAAATATCAAGAGAGAACTGATTACTTAAAATAGCAATTTTTTCCTGTAATTTAGGATTTTGTAAAATGTTATCTTCAATACTATTAATTTCTTGCTTTATAAAATTAACTTGCTTATTTTTTGAAATCAATAACTTTGCGGTTAAATCATTTATCATTCTAGTAAATGTGTTCATGTTCTTCCAGCAAAACATCTTGTGGAGTGGGCCTAGGATAGTAAAATATCCTTTGGACCGGTTTTCTAGCATATTTTTCTAATATTTTATTAATATCATCAAAAAAGTTGTTATTAACGTAACTAGGTTCTCCTTCAGAGAAGTTGTCAGCATTCATTGGTTGTACTCCTCCTCCTGTGAACCTTTTTTTCTAAAAACTTTTCAAGATTTGAATAATCCTTGATTATATATCCTTAAATTGATCATATATCTTATAAAGATCATCTTCATCATCATCTTTTACACATATCATTCCTTGTTGGCAAGGTGAACATTCATCTTCAGAAGTCATAAAAATTTCTTGTTGAAGAGCTTTAAGATCTTCACTTGTTGAGGATCCACTACTATTATCTTTCGATTCTGATTTGTCGGAACCAGAATTAAGCATAATCTTATAAAGAGAATCCTTTATATTATCATCTATTTCAAGGTTCTTAATCTTTTCCTTGATTTGACAAGCTCTGGCATAATGGCCAAATCTTTCACATTTGTGACAAGTATCTGACTTGTTATAATTATGGCAGAAAGAAGAGAGCCTCGTTTGGTAATAAATTACAAACCACTTAATAAAGCCTTAAGATGGATCAGTTATCATATCCCTAATAAGAAGGATTTATTAGACAGAGTTTATGATGCTATTATATTCTCTAAATTTGATCTGAAATCAGGTTATTGGTAGATTCAGATAGCTGAATTAGACAGGTTCAAAACTGCTTTTAATGTACCAATGGGGCAGTTTGAATGGAATGTTATGCCATTTGGTTTGAAAAATGCTCCATCAAAATTTCAGAAAATAATGAATGATATATTTATTCCTTATAGTAATTTCATCATAGTCTA